AAATTTAATATGACTACCCTAGAAAAAATATCTGGAGTGGGACTTAAACTTGCAACTTCTGCTTATTGTATGGATGCATTGCCAATTGCATATATGTACATCTGTCCAATCTTCAATTTCAGACCAATTAATTGATCAAATCCTAACTTGGACTTAATTTTGAGTATACCAACATAAAGACACATAGAAAAATCATTAAAAACTACATCATTTGTGACATTTGTAAAATTCCTAACAGTTATAACAGCAAGATCTCAACATACTAACACCAGAAAGGAACACATTATGAGTGAGACATTGCTTTAAAACTTGTTTCACAAGAATTTGACAAGCAAATCTCACCAGATCTTGGACAACTCAAACTATTGGTTTATCACATAGCTTCAGGTAATATACTAACAGAATTTGATCCCATGGGCTAAATCAACAAATCAAATAAAGGCCCAGTGAAAAAAGGTTTAAAATGAACAAAAGTCAAATATCTTAAAGTGAAGTCATATTAACTGGTCTTTTTTTTTTTTAACTGAAAAAATATAAAGATTTATAAAGGCAAGAGATAATTAATATCTCATTAAAAGCAAATAAAAACATTATGTACAATTATTAAAACATTTTTGACTAATTGTTACAATTAAGAATGAACACCTCTAAGAATGGATTCAGAGAAAAAGGTTTTGGCTTATGAAAGATAAGCATCACCAAGGTATCTAATTCTGTGAACACCACCAGACATACATATAAAAAACGTCTATACATATATATGAATATTACAAAAATTAGATATATAGATGTATTGTATGATTTCTAACACAATCGGTTCAAACTAAAAAACATCTACAAAAAATACAGGCACTACTAAGGAGATAAGAACTGATGAGGGGTACGACATTTACAAGAAAAGCATTTTCTTGTAACTGATATCAATAAAGTCTAAATTCATTCCTGTAGTTTCTGTCTGTAAAAAGCAATTCTATAAGCTTTGAATATAATATATATATGATCTAGATAAGATTATAAGTCATTCTTCATCTGGACTTATTTGGTATTTCTTATGCATATGTCATTATCTACCTGAAAATCTGCAACAATGAAACAAAGTGTTCTCCATTGGGATGCAAATCTCATGATACCATGATTACATTGCAGATTTTTTTAATGAATAAGCATTGCATAATATAAGTATAATTATGTTTTGTACTCATTTCAAAATAATAACATATGGTTTTTAATCTTTAGTTCGTTCTTGCCGCTATAAATGAAAATCATCAGAACTTGAAAGAATTTGAAAGTATAACCGTAGACGTCATAAAAGATGTTGATGTAACTATTCAGCTTGAATTAAATGCCATCTTGGAAGGAACACAAAAAAGGTTTGTCAGTTTGATTATAGCAAAGTTTAATATTTTTCTTTTCATAAAATAAATGTGTAAGTAGAGGTTATCAAATAATTAAAAAAATCAATTCATTTGTTAATTCACTCAAAGTCAGTTAACAAGCAATTTGACTTAACTGCATTAACTAATTAAATTGAAAAGTTTTCTATTTATTTATTTATCAAGTTTCATTTTTTCCAGAGATTATCAAATACTAATAAAATTAAAAGATAATTTTGAATTATCCAACCAAGTAACCTATGTACTTTACCAGCAGTGAAGTAGATGATTTACAAACGTTTTTGACTACATTCACTAGTCTGCTTCAGGTCTAACTGGAACTTCTTATTTTTCAAAAAAATGGAATAACTTTGCGATATAGCTACAACCAACAGACTGCCGAAAATCTATCGGGCTAGTTTTATGCTACTTATTAGATAAATTACGTAATCAATTTGGTACTAGAGGTAAGCGTTAGGCGCCATCTCTTATTAATATTAATAATTATAAATAATTTTAATTAATTTAAATAATTTGGAACCGCTGGGAGAAAAAATCGGCCCGGAGCGGGACTCGAACCCACAACTCCTGCTTACCGTGCAGATGCGTTGCCAGTTACGCTACCCGGACCTCCGATCCGATCTCCTCTTCCAGCGTATATAATCTAACTACTTAACCATCGACGGTTATTACAACGCCGGCTGGGGACACATTCAGTGCCCACGTCCTACTTCC